GCGTCGTTATCCCAAAATCACTACGAAAACAAGTACTGAATGAATTGCATGCAGCACACCAAGGGATCGCATCGACAAGTCGGCGAGCCAGAGAAACCGTCTACTGGCCACACCTGAACCAAGAATTGAAAGACCACATCTCACATTGCATCACCTGTGACACATTCAATTCCAAGCAGCCGAAAGAACCTCTCATCCCGCATGAAATACCAAAGAGAGCGTGGGCAAAAATCGGTTGTGATATCTTTGAATTTGAAAAGAAATCGTATTTAGTAACAGTGCTCTTCCGATCTACTACTCGAACTTCTTCGAAGTTGACCGCCTTGAAAAATTGACATCACTGGCAGTCATAAAGAAACTAAAGCCCCATTTCGCCAGGTTCGGTATTCCAAATACTCTCATGACAGACAACGGCCCACAATTCATCAGTGATGACTTTTGAGACTTCTCTATGAAGTACCAATTTGAGCATATAACGACCAGTCCCTATCACCACTAATCCAACGGCAAAGCCGAATCTGCCGTCAAGCAAGCCAAACGAATAATTCGAACATGCAAATCATCAAACGATGACATTTACCTTGCCCTCCTTGCCCACCGAAACACCCCCCAAACAACTCATGAAACAAGTCCCGCACAGCGACTGTTTAACCGCCGTACAAAGACTCTCTTGCCCGTCTCGGAGAAGTTGCTCCAACCGAAGATAAATCCGCAAGCAAACAAACGCATCCAACAAAGACAACAGCTTCAAAAGAAATACCACGATCGTGGCGCAAAAGAGCTCAGCCCGTTGCGGAAAGGAGAAGTGGTGAGACTACAGCCAACCCGAATCGGCGAAAAGAAATGGAAGAGAGGGATAGTTGTACGCAAAGTCGGGATAAGATCATATGAAGTCCAATGCAAAGGGTATACCTATACTAGAAACAGAAAATTCATCTGATGATCAAGGTTACCTGCAGAATTCGGTAGTGACAACGCAGATGAAGAGATGTCAGACATGTCCGAAGCGGAAGAGAACGTTTCTGTACCTACTGACAATGATCTGCCCCAAGAAAACCCTCAACCAGCACACTTAGAACGCAATGAAACAAGTACCGAAACAAGTTCTACAAGCAAAACA